TTAAAAATAGTTTACTTTTGCATAAATTTCATATAATTACGATACATTGTCATTGATTAATTAACCATTTCGCATTCTGTTATACTAAAATACAACTTCTCACCTTCCAGCTCAAAGATCTTCAAGGTCTCTGATTCATTTTGCACCTCATCCCTTAGAACCATTATATAACCTCTAATGTCAATATTGATTCTGAATAATACATGAACAGATTTGAACACTACTGAAGAATAAAATTCTAGTGACAACGAAAAGTTGACAATACTGATTTTAATATTCGAAAGATCAGAAAAACGAACCAGAAGAAAATCATCTGAACAACAATCCTTCTGTGTTCTGTCTCGACTGAAATCATTTCTTCCTCATCGTCAGATATTACGTTCTCTTTGGAAAATAAAATGTACAAAATAACGTAAATTTGACGGCATCATTGGACTCTGAAAGTATTTCCTCGTTCATGGAAATCATTTGTGCAGTACATGGATGAATTGCTCAAGAATACTAAAAATACTAGAACTCGTGTTGTCACAAACAAACTCATACTCTTGCTCTCGGTTCCCTTTCTCTCTCGTGACAATCTCTCTTGAGCATGCTTCCTCATTTGGGGGGACTACGTGTTCCCCATAGTTGTCTGAACGTAGTTCAGCCTACGTGGTGATCGAATGCCGAGCTCGGGACGTGAAGGACATGATGCTCCTGGGGCTAGGGCCTAGCCGCTAGGCCCCAATGGCATCTGGACCATCACGTCTAGATCTGAACAGCTCGGTTTGATCCCTCGGGGTCATCGAATCCCTGTGGCTATATAACTCGGGTCCCTTTCTGATGAGAAATAAATGACTGTCATCTTGGCGGCCGACACTTGGAAGGGACACTATTCTAGGTCCGCCGGATCTTGCCCAGGATAGCAGCTCGATGGGAATTTGGACATTCGTTGGAGGCATGCAAAACGTGAGGGGCGTTCTTGGATAGCGAGCTCGGGGTCGCTATTATTGTCCGTTTGAACATGTCTAGGAAGATGGGGGCCATACCTGCTTTAGAGCAAATCTAGTGGGGACAGTGCCGCGGCTGCTTCTTGTCGATAAGTGTCTACTTCGGATCTGACACTTGTACACTCCACAGAAGCATCTTCTGGTTTGCAGAGGACCCGAATCCGAAGATGCTCTCGATGCCTCTCCATAGCCCGTGGAGTCTTGCGATGTGCCCGTTCATCGTCCTCTGTTTATACGAAGGTTCTGTAAATGTGGTCCGTGCGTCCCTTCCGAGTGTCGTGTTCAGTTCTTGTTGCCTTGCCTCGCCTACTTCGCCATGTCAAGCTTGCCACCCAGATCTAGCGGGAATGGGAAGAATGGCAGGCAATTCAGTTGCCCGAGGGGTCCCACATCGGGCTATAATTGAATTGTGTAGAGGAGCATGTCCTTACGTGTCTCCATCACCAAATGCAGTGGGTCGTGAAATTGCAAGCAAGCTGTATCTTATTTTGTCAATATTGTGTCTATTTAAGAGTGGTTCTTCGACGTCGGTGCCCATTCCTGCTTCTAAACCCAGCATTTAGAACTTTTCATCGCCATACGCAGTTTGGAATGTAGTGCTTAGCTTTCTCTTTTCTGACGTGTCGGTAAACAAGCCGATGGCACTTTTCCTCTCGTCTGCATGCCTTAGAGATCTTTTCTTTTTCTTTTCATGTTTACCGTTTTACTCCTCTTACTGTGAAGAAGAATCATGGGCCATGATTCATGGCCATGAATTCATGAATTGGGAACATCCCATCGATCTGTACATGGACGAAATCGGAGCGCGTATGATGGGGCTAGGATCCAATATCTTAGTTCCCATATTACATCTTAACATTCAGGTATAACAATGTAAAGATGTAATATGGAACCTAAGAAATTTGAATTCATCGAAGTACAAATGTTAACGTGATAGAAGGGCATAAAGTGAGCTGTAATTGAATAATCAATGTATGACAGGAAAATGTTCTAAAGAAAAAAATTCCATACATTGAATTTGAGAAAATTAATCTGAATTAGAGAAATAACAAATCCAATTAATTTAAAACTTGTTATGCTGCTCAAATATTATATAGTATAGAATCGAATCGTTGTGAAGAAAATAGAATCTCGTATTGACTTAGAATATCAAAATAACTACTCACATACTCCTAACCCACTCTCCGCTGTCCCCTATACCTCCTTGACACTAACTTGTGAGTGACATTCCGAGGGTCACATCTTTGTGACCCCATCAGTGAGTTGTGGGCTTGAACATTTATTAACTGGAGATTCGCAACTACAGCGGGAATAGCCAGAGGAAGGTTATGAGATTCGATTTGCAGCAAAAAGTAACTGCTGGAAGAAAAATTTTCACCATCCATTTTTTTCACCGCATCCATTTTACTACAAGAGGCTTTTCTGTGTCGATCTTTCTTCCAATTTAGGAGGAATACTTTCTTTATCTTGCTCTCTAAATTAAGGTCTTTCTTATGTGTAGATGTTGGACTCATCTGTCCAATGACTTGGAATCAAGTGGTCCAAGCGATAGCAAATCCTAGGAGAACATCGAAGATATATTGCCTTTAATTTCAAAAAATCCTTCGTGAAATCTGGAATGCGATGTTCTGGATTCTATTCATATTTGCCAGGACTGAAAAATAAAAGAGATTTTTGTAAAATAATTCACTGATATCAGATTATATTCCTGTTTCTGAAAGCTTACACATCCAGGGACCAGATCTTCATTTTATTCGATCTCCCAATAAGATTCTGAAAATTTTTCAAAATCATAAATGAAGGTAAAGTGACTTCCTTTTGAACTGCTGTACGTTAAAGTAGCGAAAGTTGTCGTTAAGACACAGAAGTCCAAAATCCTTATATTTGGAAGGCATTCTCCTTACCCAACGCGCTTCAGCATGAGCTAGATGGATATCGTGAGATCTTAGTCTCCTAACATGATCTCAATATTATTCAGCTTGCTTCGAGGAATTAAATATTTCTATATAGATGAAAATGAAACCTGATGGTCCCTTCGAGCCGTATTGAGTTTCCAAGGGGTCCCATGAAGTAATTTCCTCGCCCATATAATATCCTTAACGGCCCCTGATGTGAACTTATCTGGAAGACATGGTCTTGCGAGACTGTCAATTGTGATATTCATACACATGAATACACTATTACGTAAAGTATGTTGGTGATTTCAAAAATTATTATAGAGGAAGCTATATTAAATGCCACATGCAGATGCCATTGTAGATAAAAATCACTTAAACACAAGTAATAGTTAGAACGAGATGGATTTATATAGGTTGAGACAAAGTACTTGTGCCCAACTAACATAAACTAAGTGTGCAAATCATGTAACGATGTCATTCATTTCTTTTGAAGCTAAAGACCATGAGAAATGCTCAAAGGCGATCATGTCTAATAAACTTTGTAAAAACAGAGTATATATTGACTTTTTAAAATCTCATGTTAATAGATAAAGAAGAAAGTTCATTCTAAGAAGTACCAACCATGGAGCTTGTCAAATCTGCATTATCCTTCTTTGAACTTCCTTTGATATAAAATGCATGAAATCACTAAAGTAATCATCGGTTTAAATAAAATCCCTAAGATGCTCAGACACCATACTTGAAAACCTTTTTAGTATAAGTGTTAGCTTTTACATAAGAAGGGCAAAATATTTATCAAGAAATTGCGATTTTTTTATCTTGATCACTATAAATTTATATTAAAAAAATGTATTATATTATATCGCATGTAAATGGATTGGGCTATAAGGAAAAGCCAGTATAACCTCATATACAAGGAGTACACAAGGAAACCTACGAGATAAACGTGGACATGGAAGGCTTGTTTTAAAATGAAACACGATTGGAATGTTCATCACTATCAATAACCTGATTATATGTGATGAAAATCAAGAAAGGAATCAACATACTAATACAACAGCTTCTGTATATCACTTGAGCTTTGAACACCAATATTCACATGGTTGTAAACATGTTTAGTATTTTTTTTAAACAACATGAGATACTGCTGTACTGAGCTTTCTGTGCAGACTATGTTATAAAACATCCATCAATTGCTCTACAACCAGCACTAGAAGGTGCATGTAGAATGTGTGATGTAGATATTTCAGGCGCAATAGTGCATATTAGGATTGTGATGCTGGGGTCTCAAACCCCGGATCTCATTACTTTGCTTTCGTCATTGTCCACTTCGGCACGATGTCTATATATTTCTTACATCCTTTGTCTCTTAGCATGAACATAAGACAACCTCAAAGGATCTCCTCTCGTATCTTCTCTCCAGTAGAAGGAACCGCTATCTGAACCTTCTCTCCAGTATCTGATCTGAACCTGATACCTGCCCTGTCGATGACGGTGCACATTCTAGAAGGACGAAAAGGATTCACCGAATGCCCAATGCCCAACAAGTGAGATGGAAAATAAATGGAGATCAATACTATGAGAACAACCAACTAGTCCAGCAGGAAAACTAAATTAAATTTTTTCCAAGACTTGCGGATCGTATTATCTATATATATATATAGCTGCTTTACTCTTGCAAAGGATTGCCAAAGAGAACATGCAGACTACTTTTTAGTAGAAATCATGACTAGACTCGGAATGGGACCAATTTTCTGAAAGGGTGTCATGGGAACATACTCTGCTCAGTACCTTGACTGAGAGAGAGAGAGATCTTATCCAACGATCGAGTGCAGGCCAGTGAATGTGATGGGGTAATCAGATACAGTGCGCCCTGCTCCGCTCGCGCCGCTCTGAAGAACCTCGGACTCGACCAAACGACTCGGTTTCGTAGACGCGTGGCAAAGAATGGTCGTAGGTGCATTCACGTAGAGTTGATGCAGACCTCTGGAATCTGCCTGAGAAGGCTATTCTGGGATCTGTACTCAAGGATTACACGTAGCCCTCTGCTCCCTAGCCTCGCCTGCTGCTGCCTCTGCTCGATGCTGCTGGCTCTCGCATATACAAAACCTTCACAGAGTACGGCTCGGGAAGACAACAGTTCGTAGTAGCCGAATAGTACCCGCAGTCTGTTGGTGTCGAAGGGGGGAGGCGCAGTCTGCTGTTAAGTACACTTGAGTGAGTGATGGATGTGTGTCTAGGTCTGGGCCTAGGAGACACGATGGTGACTTTGATGCAAAAGATGAGCGATTCGGGCTCTGTGATGGAGCCGGAGGTGGTGGACAGTCCTCGAGGAAGCAACTTCTCATGGTCCTTTGTAAATCGCAGTGCTGGGCAATCTTCGAGTGCGAAAGCCTGTGATGCTTCTGTGGCTATTCCTAGGAACTCTGCTGATTTCGCCAGCGAAGCCAGCTTTTGCAGCTCGCCCTCTGCGTCGGCTGCTTCAGGATTGTCCTCTGACGGGAAGTCCAGCTCGTCCACCAGCTCTGTTAAGTCTTCTTCGTCTCGATCTCATTCGATCAGGTCGCTTTTCGGGCTCGGCAAGTCGAGGGCGAGGAAGCCTGCCGTGTTGGAGAAGGTGCCGTTCGGAAAATGGTCTAAGTACTTGACAGTGTGCGTCGGGAGTCGAACTGGGGAGACTGAGAAATATGTCATCAACAGGAGTTTGTTGGCGCATCCTCTTATACAAGTGCTGATCAAGTGTTCTGAAGACGAGTTCGATGAGGACTACTCGTCGAAGAGTAAAATTAACATCGCCTGCGATCCTGCATTGTTTTTGGAGGTGGTCCGATTAGTGGATGATACAATGTGCTCGGCGCAGGATGTCCACGCTGACGAATGTGAAGAGAGTCATGAGGAGGATATTTGAGAAACCAATCAGGAGTATATGATCTGGCTTACTTCTGCACGGAACGCTGTTATGGCGTCCCCCAATTTTGACCGTCAGAGCCAACAAATGCAGCTCGAGCTTGTACATATGAGAGTTGATTTAGATCTTAGACGAGGTTCACAAACATGCGGGTATTGAGGGTGATGTACCTTACACCTTCAAACCACGCGCAGCTGGACACTTTGTACATGTGTATATACTTCTCTGCACCGTTCTGCCTAAGCTCGGCACAACTCGGTTGAAGTTAGCAGTTACTGAGATCAACAGGTGCTTAGTTTCATAGTAGGAGAGAGCTGAAAGAGGCGGACTTGATCCGGAAAACCTCTGTTTATATTTCAAACAATTGCCCTTGTTGGGAAACATCAAGTATACTGAAAGTTCCAAAGGTTGATAACGGATTTTGTTAGTGCAACATGAAATGCAAAAGGACTTGACATGTCTATATCTTTTGAAGAAAATTGGTTCACTATTCCCCTGTCGCTTCCGTTGTACGGAACAGGAAGAAGGATTTTGTTACTCTTAAAGATGGAGTCATAACATTTTGAAGGCTGATTGTATGCTCTTTCTGAAATCGTCAATGAAGGTAGAAGATTGTAGACTACTAGTAGAATATATGTGATATATCCACGTTTTTTTCGTCAGATAAAAGCGCCAAAACATTATTGATTATGAGAAAACTGAAGATAGATCATAACAATTGGCAGAAGTAAAACTTGAAGCCTATGCGCCAGTTATAGTTACGGAAATTGTTGTTGCTTCTTCTAATCTTACGAATAGACAAGAATTATGATGTTCTGTAGTTATTGAAATATGAAAGAGATTGATAATAGTCATCCGCCATAATACTTGCACCATTTTACATACTTCGAGTGGACCAAGGGTGTATGTTTAATCTTCAGCGGATGTAGATGAGTTATTTGTAAAAACACGTGGAGTGCGCGCATCACTGGTGTGTGTACTTCAGCGCATTTCGATTACCTATATATGCAAACTTTGCGTCCTCAGTCAATTTCATGCATCTGTTTACTAACCTGCTAATCCCAAACCAATTTACATATCGCTCAACAGTAAATTACAAGCATTGATGATACGTTCTTCCGATACGCTCTTCGATTCTGTCAGTACAGTACTTTTCGCAACTGTCGATAACAAACTTTTGTGTATACCTGTGCACGGGATTGTGTCTAACAAATGATTGCGGTAAACGTTCAATTGTATTCCTGCTCTATCTCTAGAAAACGCTGAGCGAGGAGAATTTGGGGCAAGGAAGCGAGGGTTAACATAAAATCTCCATGCTCGAAAGACCATGGCCTCTGGAATTCTTATCAGCTGGTAAGAAGTCCCACCTAGCATTCTGCTACTTACAGTCATGTACATTACAGGCAAATTTGATTAATTTGTTGTGCGATGCTATCGAGTGCTGTTAAGCTCTCACTCCTGATCAATTTTCGCTGCTGTCTCGCTTTCGTTGAATGCTCTATGGGGTATGAAGCTTTCACTCCTTTTCACGTTGGCCCTTTGCGGCTATCGTTCATGTAGTGTCAGAGCATGCGTATAAAATCGAAAGCGTTTGAGGCCCTTTTCTGCTCGTACTTGTTTTTGTATCTTCCTCGCTTATCCTCCGTCTGCAGACAGAAGGAGTTGTATCATCAGTTCACTATACGCGTATTTATTTTTTTTGCATGTAGCTTCCAATATTCTGGCTCTTGCTCTGATTCTACTCTCTTCTCATCGATCTCAAACTAAAAATTTATCAAAAGTTTGTGTACGTTTCAGTATCTTATACTCTTCCTCTGATCCTCCTTCCAAATATTCGTATGAAATTGCCCAAAGAAACATACTTCAAAATGTACCTTCACCTTAGCACCCTCTCTCCCCTAAACTAATTTGATTTTTCATCTTACGTACGAGTATTCAAATAGATCCACAACCTTTCTATGATACAACCTAGGTCAGTGTATTGACGTATTCTCAATGTGATTGAACTCTTCCGATTGAACATCTACTCCAGTTATCTAATCGGTAGCAGAGAATCATCAGAATATAATAAGTTCAACCTGTCAAATTGGATCGGATTTGCCTTGAATGTACCTCAGGTGTTCAGAAAAAATCCAACGATGGACGTTCAGATGAGTCTGTCATTTTAGGTTGGAAAGCGTTAACGCTGACAATGCATCTCCTGCAGAGAAGCGTCATTGAAATGAGTGGATTCTTATCTCATTCACATAAGGTTCTCAGATGCAACAATTGGTGAATTGTGTATCCGATTGCCTTTGCCAGAACTCAGAAGAAAACAGAGCAATAAGATGCACAAGCAGAATTGCGGCGCTAAAATGGATGCTTTGTCAGCCAGTTGGGCTTCTCTCTACTTAATTTCGATTAGAATATGGACAAAACAAGCCGTATGGATTGTAAAAGGAACTTGCTGGTTATGTTCCCTTGTATGCACTGGACGGCGATGCTTTCTGCCAAACCTGGTATCGAACTCTATATTTGACGTCACAGTTGGACGAGTGGGCCCTCCCAGACCACAAGAGTTGCCAGTACTGTCTGTCGATGCAATATCTTACGCGTGTAGAAGACTTTATTTGTTTTTCCTACAAGTACAGGAGGAGGCGCTTTACGTTATAAAGTAAACATTAGTTGAATCCTTATGAAAATACTAGTTCCGACCGAGAAGAGAACAACCGCCCTAACCCAAAGTAGAACAAGAGGATAGAAATTTCAATTAAATGATCGTGGAGAGTGCCAAAGGTTGGCGATAAATGTTTCACCCGCTGTCTGGGGATAATACAGACCAAGAATTCAGCGTTCTACTTCTACTGACTCCTTGTTTCAGTGCCGATAAGACGGTATTTGATTTTTAGAGGACACTTATTGATCAATTAACTGAACGCCAGCCTAGTCTTAGGCAGGCAAAAAGCTCATCCTAAGACACAGGATACTTAGTAGATACATAACGAGTCACACTCGTAAAGTGATAAAGTATGGTAACTTTATAGAGTTATACCTTTATCTCCATAAATCTCTTGTTATGAAAGAAAATCAAACACTCGTAACCACATGTCTGGTAAATGAGAAATTTTAGGCTACAAAATGTAAATGAAGGGATACCAAGTAATACGGAAGAAGGGATGAGAAACCCCTATCAGATTCCTACCGGAATGATACCAAAGGGAGAAGATGGGTTAGGCCCTATTGGCATCACAGCGGTAAAGGTATCGAACTTCAAACATGATATCATAATTTTCTAGCTCAAAGTGTCTACTACAAGATCACAGGAGAAAACATTTTCACATAATATGATTGCTCTCTTATTGTTTGCAATGTTAGTGCTCTCTGCAATTTTGTCACAGAACGATGATAATCTCACTCATACTAATAGTTTTATCACCTTATCACTGCCATTCTATATTTGAAGGACGTGCCTTTCATGGAAGATATCCTCTTCTTCTCAAAACTCACACACATACGATTTGATTCACCTATGATGGAGAATAGATTTCGAGATCCAAAAGTGAATAATTTTGAGGGAAAATGCAACGTCCACCTCGTAAGGGTGAATGCATTGCTTACAGTAGATCGAGGAAACTTGGCAGTACTCATATTCATCAGATCATACAACAATTCGCATTGGCCTTTGTGTTCGTGACTCTTGAAACGGACTGCCAGTCAGAAGCTAGCTCAAAGAAAATGACGAAGAAAGATCCACATTGTGATAACACTGCTGATCAGAGCCCAACATTGTGTGCCCATACCCATGCCCATGGGTTATGGGTGGGTTGGGTTTTGGGTGACATTATTTCTCCTTGGGTGGGCACAAGTGATGCTAAGGGCAGTGTTTGTCAAGATCCAACCAAGAATTTGCGTAATTTGAGTAGCATGGGTGGGCATAGGTCGCTGCTGATGATTATGGTCTGGTCTGGGTGCAGATTTCTAGTAAAATGTTGGCCTCTGCTGCTGACCCCGGTCTGTCTAAGAAATCAGTCCTTCAGTTCAGAAAATTGACGCAGATTCAGGCACAAGCATATGATTTTCCAGACATACACACAAACTATGTCTCATGGTCTGTTGTTTGCTTATGTCATAGAGGCGAGTTTGTGATTCGAGAAAATCTCGAATCCCACAACATCCAAACTGAACTGTTATGGCAAACCAGCCAACGAGAAGCCACGAGTCGTACACGTAAACATTAACTGCGACTGTCAGAAGGCGCCCTTGTCGTCAAGGAGTTCCGTCCCACAAACTCTGACCGCAGGGCAGGCAACAGAACGAGCGAGTGTGGACGAGGGACACGAGTGCACAAACGTCCGCGCACTTGGGCCGTAAAGGCTCAGAGATCTCAGAGGTCTGAGAGGCAGAAGAGCCGCAAGTGACAAGGTCTCGTAGCCGCGTGCCAGGTGGTTTGCAGAAGCAGCTGACGTCAATGTGGCAGGGCTATTCAGTCGTGAAATCGACCACGCACTGCGCAGCAGCGTTCGACTTTGAATCCGAGCTCCCGAGTCAATTGAAGGCCTATTTCGAGCATGCTAAACCGAGTTAAACAGCTGCGAGCCGCGATCCTCGGAATAACTTCGACGACCTGTCTTAACAGGCAGGCAGGCTCGAGCCTACTCACGCACAGCTGCGCCGCAGCACGCTCGGTCTTGAGTTCGGAGACTGCCGAACGTGAGAAGAGACAGAGCGACAGTGGGCGAGAAGAATGTTCTGGCTCGCGCCATAGAGGCGCCGAGAGGATTTGAAAGTTCACTGTTCTGAAGGTACTGAGGCCATTGCGGGCGAGATGGACTTGTGTCTGGGTTTAGGAATGGGCGAAACGATTCTGGCCTTCATGCGCAGCAGGAAGCACGGTTCTGGCGCTGCAGCGAGCAGCAGAGATGAGGAGAAGATGAGCCCGGGGAGCAGCTCCATCTGGTCTTCTTCTGTGTCACGCAGTGGAATGCAGCATTGTTCGAGATTATCGTCGGATGAATCCTCCCGAAGTGAGAGTACCCACGACGACTGCAGCTCGTCGGACATGTCGAGCTCCGGGGGATTTCCAAGCTCGCCCTTGTCGGCGTATTGTCCTTCCAGGAGGTTGCTGTGGGGATCGAGAAAGCGGTCGAGGAAGCCCGCAGTTCTCGAGAAAACGCCGTTCGGGAAATCGACAGAGTATCTCACAGTGCACGTCGGAGTGCGCAGCGAGCTCAGCGTCAAGTATTTCATCAACCGGACACTCCTGACGCACCCTCTCTTCAAGCTATTGCTCAAGTGCTCCGAGGATGAGTTCGGTGAAGAGTACATGGTGAAGAGAGGTGTCGCCGTCGTTTGCGACCCTGCTTTGTTCCTGGAAGTTGTTAGAGCAGTCGATGACGACCTTTGGTCCTCAAAATCTGGCATCGAAGCTCTAGGCTGGCAGTCTAATCAAAGTCATCATTCGAAGCCCGAAGCTCGACTTGTCTGAAGGCCTTCTGCAACAGAGACAGGCAGACCTCCATTCGATGTCCAATCTCGGTCCAATTTTGGTAGCCAGTAGGAAATCTCTCTGCTCCGACCTGTACATACTTCCTTAGAAATCGGGAACATACAATTTTGAGCAGCTTTTGAAATAATCTAGTCGAAATCTTCGTCGCTTTGCCGCACAACAGACGCGATGGTCTGAATTGGGATCTATTCAATGGTCCATTTGAAGAGTAGGATACTTCAGTATATCATAGATGAAGAGAAGGTTCTGGCATTCTCATACAGCATGTCACACCTCCACGGCAGAAATGTAAAGAAAATGTCCCTCTCTCGGGACATGAAGTAATTCAAAGTTATCTACACACTCTCGACTTCTTCTTCAGATCCTCAAGAAACCCAATGTCGTGATGCTTTGTTCTGGGCTCTCGCCATAAGCTTTCTTTTGAGCTGGAAAAATCCCCGTGGCCCTGTTCCTTGTCTTGGAACTTAGCTCTTCCTGTAAACCTGAGGAACATATCCGCGGAAATTAAAATGTTGACAGGTGCATCTGAAAACCTTCCTCCCGTGAACATTGACTAAATTAGAATGAATCATTGGCGTGGGTCAAATGTCTGTGATTGAGTTTAACTACATTTAATTTAATATCACCTCCACCGACAAAGTGTTCTGTTAAGACTTGCAGTTTTCCTGAGGACTGAAGAACGAACTATACTTCAGTAGAGAAGCCAAAAGACCTGCGGCGAGCACGCTGTGCAAGCAGGAATGTGGAATTTTTCTCCTCGAATTAAATGGCATTCTCGCATCCTGCTCTGCAATCGGTGAGTAGTCATCAGAAGAAGGTGACTCAGCCTTCGTCATCATAATCCACTAGGAGCATGGAGCTATTCTCCTCGGTTTAAATGGTCTTCTCTCATCCTGGTCAGCAATCGTGGAGTGGTCACCAGAAGGAGGCGACTGCAGCCTTCATCATCATAGTCCTTTTGGTGCATAGAATAATGCTCCTCAGATTATTTGGCCTTCTCGCATCCTGGTCAGCAATCGGCGAGCAGTCATCAATTTTCACCATTTACCAGTAAACACCCTGAAACTCCGGATGTAATAAATCAACAAGACAGCATCGACAGCATCGATAACAACTCCGTCATAGTAATGCTTCAGGTTTTAAGATAGATTGAGTTTTAAAAGTTCATATTTCTATGAATAACGATTTTTTTGATAAAACCAATGAACCAATCTAAATGATGATCAAAGATCTGAAAATCGCATTGAGAATTTTATCATGTATGTTTGAATCAAAATGAATAATAAAATAAATTATCAAGAATTTTCATGAAATAAATATATTTTGCGTAGATTATATCTTATATAAAGTTAAAAGTATCAGAAAATGTAATTCGTTCATGTAATTGATTTGTTAAGAATATTTTTTTTAATTTAAGGAGGTAAAAATGAAAATATTTTACCTCCATACAAATCTTTTTCCTGTCACAAGTGTCAATCTTACATTAATTTTGCTAACTTAATAAAGCAATAGTTATCTTATTACATAAAATAAAAAAAATTTGGACAAATTGAAGATGATTGTTTATGTATGTATTTAATTTGAATAATTATTGTACAGTTGCAATAATATTTTTACAAAATTTTGTAATCTCAAAGTAGTCAAAATCCAAGATATTGATATTTAATAAAGAAGAAAAGTAAGCTAAGCTGACTAAGCTCCCAAATAAAGTCAAAATAATTGCATTTTGTACCTCTTAGTTGATATGGAAATTATCGCACACTGAATTCTGAATACAAACACACCTTATGTGCAAACTATAGATACTTACACTTATTACAAAAAGTTTTACTGTGTGGCTGAGTAGATTAAAACGAAATTATAATAATTTATGGATATATTTGAGACTCATGATGAGAGTTCGAAAATAATATATGGGTTAAAGTTGCAGATTGTGGCTCTGAAAACACGCTCTGATTAAGTCTATATGACTAAGTAGAAGTATTTTCTTATTCGTTGTCAAACCTTAAACTCATCATTTGAGTTTGACGAAGGAAAACTAAACGCTGTTATCACAAATATGGAACTAAAGGTTTCATTTTTGTGACAACAGCTTGAGAAAGATTGAAATTTAAATCCACTGTTAAAAATTATCAAAGGCTTTAGAAAGTAACGTATGAAGTCAAAATAATAGTAAAAAATTAATATGAAAAAATTCAGTAATAAAAATAGATGGATGAAAAACTTAACTGACCAAAGTTTTTCTAAAACTTTTTAAGTAAGATGTGTTCTAGCACATTGGAATAATATGATAAAACTCATCTAGTTTTGTGAAGTCTGATGATTTATGATAAGCCATGATTTGATAAAAAATGCTAAACATAATTGATAGATTTAAGCTAAAAATGATTTGGAATTTCTTACTTGATCATCTGTTTATATCATGATTTTGATATTTAAATTTAAATATTATCTAGAATTTTAGTAATAACTTTCTTTATATCATTATTTTTATTTATGTATTTTGATTAAAAAAATCATAATTTTTCCAAATAATTTCTTCCAGTGTATATGTCTAGATGTGTTTCATAATTTTTATATATGTTACAATTTTTGTTGATTTATTAATGTATCTAGTTTGGTTTTTTTTTTAATATAAGATTTAGAAATATAATTTAAGTTCTAGTTATTTTTTAAAATTTCTTCAAAAATTTTAGAGAATTTTTTTTCAATAATGTAATGAACTAATGATCAATTTATTTAAATTTCATTATATATTATTTCAAGTCATAAAATTCAATTAATATTTATTATAAAAACATCATATCTCGATAATTTTTATTAGACTTCTTACTCCACATGTTATACACTTTCTTTTTTCCATTAATGTTTTTAATTTCATAAATTTGTACATAAATTTTTATACTTAACCTGATAATAAATAATTTTTTTTCTCACAAATACATAAATATTTTTTTATGTATTTGTGAGACAAAATTTGTCAGATGAAAATAAGATATGAAATAGTTTTTAAAAAATTATTATAATTTTTTTATAAATATGTTTTTAAAAAAAATTTAAATTTAATTCATAAAATCTAAAATCATTCCAATTTTTTAATTAGTGAAAAAATTGCTAAAATACTGTTTGAAAGATTTTTATGATTTTGCAGGTCCAACGTAAAAATAATCACATATCAATATACGTGATTTTGATTACTTCTCAGGATTTTTCAAAAATTCCATGAATGATCAACAATGCAATCAAAATATAAGACAAAATAAAATTTAGTGAAAATACACTATACATCATAGAATATGAATATTATTAATGAAAAATAATATAATTTATTACTTATGTAAAACTTATGATTTTCCAAAGGTAGGTTAAAAAATGATTTTATAAGAGAAATATAATTATCTTAATTATTATACCATTGAATTTACAATAATGTTAAATAATTGACGGTTTTAAAGTCAGGATCACTTCAGAACATGATGTACAATTTTCTCTAGCCAACTGTAAATATTAGTACATGTAGATTATTTCTGATGCTCTACATATATGTCGAAGATGTTTCTGATCACGATAACATCATGGTCTAGCCACTGAATGGTATAGTTCTCCCAATCAAACCGTAAAGTCCCAGCTTAGCTATAAGGTTCGATAAGGTATTCCCATCGTTTTCTCTATTGACTTCGCCCGTTCGTGTTACATGCCAAGGCCCCTTCAGTCCAAGAAATGCAAGGCCACATACAAAGATACTAACTGGTCGATCACACATGTGTGGTAGAGCAGCTGATGCATAAAGTGCAGTGTTTACCGATAAGGTCTCATGGTTTCGCGCCATTTGCGTTTCTCGAGGGCAGGACATTTTCCAAACTATGGCCAATGAAATCACTCGTTGAGGTACATCACATATGAGCTTACTCAGAAATGGCAGTTTGGTCACAACGGTAAAGTGGCGAAATTTGATGGAGAGATATTATAGTACAATACTTACCCCCTAGCTAGCTATGATTATGTTCGATGGCGGTTTTATTCTCTCCAACCACATAGTAATGCTTGTGAGATCACCTGCTATTCTCGGTGCTTTGTGACTGCAATAGTCAGATCGGCTGAAAATTTGGAAACGTCATCTGCTACTTCATTGAAGCTTGATTCAAAGAAGAGATTTACGAAGAAACCACATTCTTCTCGTACAACGCCATAAGAAGATCGAAGAAGGTGTCGGGAAATCTGTGTAATGTAGTTGTTGTTTCCCGTAGGACGGCACAAACTACGCGCTGACAGTCTTTGGCTTAGTGAAGAACAAGGTAAAAATCCATAGCCTCGGTTTCATTCTTGTGCGTCCATGGGCGGAAAGAGGAGGCAAAACCTCCCGAAATCGTAAAAGGCGCGAGGGGCGAGACGAATACTCCCGAAGCTCCCTGAGGACCTGGAGTTGCGATTTGAGCCTGTCCTAGCGGATGGACATCAGACCTGTACTCGATTACATTGTCATCAGCAGTCAGATCCGAAGCAGGTCAGTGCACTCCATAGCTTGAAACAAGACTGCAAGTCATCAACCTGACAAAACCTATTCACCTAGATCAGACCTCTTCGCTTTAGATTTTGGCGTAATGGTACCTAAAGTTATGCTGTAGCTGAAAAAGGTCTCTTTTGTCTATTCCCTATGTCATGAACGTCCCTTATCTAATGTCGACAGTGAAAGCGGGTATTCGGGAATATTTGCAAAATCTACATCCTTACTCCACGTCGTCGAGAAGGTTAAATATAGGTATATTCATTGTACATCCAACTGGCACTGGCAATAACTTGCTTGTGAAACATCATGACTACTCCATAATTTGCTGAGTGTATCATCGATTGGACTAAAGAGAGTGCTGGGCCACTTGGAGAGAAGTGAGTGTAATACTTTATCATCAAAGCATGCATAAAGGACGCCATTTCCCTACTCAGCTCTAGTGGTATAATTCCTATCGAAAAATGTGGAAGAAGACCAACATCGGTGTTTCATCCGTGGGTAGGCACGGTAACGATGCGCTTAGTCCCTCATGGTTTCACTGAGCATGAGTATACCGCTGTCAAGTTAAGCAACAACCGAAGTGAGGTGTTGACACTTCGAAACAGCTGCAACTTTTCCTTTCTCGCAATAAAATCCGAAACGAGTGGGTATAATATGTTAATGATATTATACTTTGGTTTTGTAAGAAGGTTCCGGCAGGGAATTTGATATTGTTGTATATTTGTTCATTGAAGTACCAATTCTTGGCACTGTCAAGCAAGTAAACTCTTCGTTTGTCAGTCTCTTAGAGATGATGACGATGTGATTAGCTTTTTACATAGTTGAGACGTAGTTGTCTACCGGGTTTATACGATGATAGCCATTTTTTTTGCATTTTAGTGTTCCTCATTCGTTTATTCGTGCGTGAATATAAATTCCTTGGTTTTACAAACTTTCCTGATTCACAGTAGAAAAGTATAAAAATTCGAACCCAGATGCACAAGTTTCTTAAGGGGATTTCAGATCGCATATCCAGCCTTCTGTGCATAATATGCTAACAGAGGCTTGGATCCGAGGTTTACTCAATTTTAATATTCATGCGCAGAGCCACGTCTTTCAGACAAGCACCATAATTAGACACGATATCTTAGATGTAAACCCTGCACAACTCATGACTGAAAAACGCCAGAAGAACGATTTGCACAGGAACATGACACGAGCTTGATTCTTTTCATGTACATGAATAGCACAACTTGTTACAGCCTGTATATAACAAGCACGATGTCGATAGATCAGCGAGAGACTGATGGATTGCTCTAGACGTTTATCGCCTACATTCTCGATTCAAGGTAGAAATTCCGGCTGTACAGACTGGCAGAAACTCTATTCTCATAGGCCTGAATGAACAAGAAAAGCAATCACTTGATAATATGGTTTAAAGGCTAGGAATTGCCAAGACAGCCTTTTTTGCTCGAACCTCTTGCTGCACTTGTATTGATAATGGACATAGCACTCGTTTGTACCAATCCGTCTATACATCTATTATGCATGTGATACCGCGTAATTTACACACACGATGACGCTCATGTGGCAACTAATCTCTGCAGCTATGCTAAGTCTGTAGAATTTTGAGTATTTCTGTCGGTGAAAACTGCGAGCTTCTCCAAGATCTAAGCTCGGTGTGTACAAATCTCCAACATTGCGCTAAATTTTTTCCTCTGCGAGAGACGCCCACCCGGAAATCTAATCTAGAAGGTACTCCTTTATGTACACATACCTCGGAGCAATGCTGATTGCTCGAACCTGAACAAAATTGTGACACGAGGCGACAAGGCTTCGCGTATGGAGAAGATCAGTTCTGCGGGAGAAAAAGATGGAAATCCGAATCAATCCCGCGTCTGCATGGTCAAAACTTTGTAGCTTCGGAATCGTGGGTTCATGCAGACCAAACATTATTGTCGATGGCTCTGACCAACTCCACAAACAATGCAGGGTCACAGACGATGGCCACTCCGTTGTTCACAGCATAGTCCTCGCCAAACTCGTCCTCCGAGCACTTCAACAAAACTTGAAAAAGAGGGTGCGTCAATAAGCTTCGGCTGATCACATATTTCACGCTCTGCTCTGTCGACCGCCCGACGTACACAGTCAGGTACTCAGCCGACTTGCCGAAGGGGACCTTCTGGAGTAACACAGGTTTCCTGCAGCTCTTGCGTCTCGCGGAGGATCTCCTCAGAAACGACCGTGACATGAGCGAGCTTTTGGATCCATCGCTGCACGAGCTTCCGAAGGACGAAGATCCATCGCTGCTGCTGGATCTCGACACGTAGTCCGACCTGCAGTAGCCTCCGGAGCGACGAGAGCCCGAAGAGGACACGGAGTTGTGACTCGCTGAGAGCAAGGCGATTCGCATGACGAAGGAACACGAGAAGGTGCCTCGAGACAAGCTTGAAGAAATGAAGTGCGGTCTCAAGGATCTGGACTTCTCGGCGTCCTTGCTGGGCAGAATGCAGGATTTACTAATCCTGCTCTTGGTTAACGTCACCATGATTGCTCACTAGCGAAGCACCACCACAAGTCAATCAATCCACGACACGGCAGAATCCCAAGTACCACTCTCACCGAATGAGTTTCAAGACGATTTCTCTCATGTACGATCTCTGCAACACTACCTGCTCTCGCGATCTCTTGTGTGCCTAAGATTGCACTGACATTCTCCGACTGCAAATGCGCACCTGGTTTTGTATACTGGCTCTCACAGCCTGCAGAAACACAAGGCCAGGACAGGCAACGTGGCGTCTGAATGTACGAAGCGATAGCACAGCCAGATAACATAAAGCTCTGCTGGTCGTTTCCAAAGATTGCCACGCGGCCACAGACGAGACTCCTCCTGCTGCTGCAATCCTCGCGGCTCCGATCGGGGCGGGGGTCCGTATTTTTTATTCGGGCTTGAGTCCAAGCGTCACATTCATTATGCTGGTCACGGCTCCAAGGCGCAGGGCTGTCCAAGTCCGTCAGTCCGGAGGAGGCCTGGCAGGCAGGCTGGCTGTCGGTAGACAGAGCGAGCGAGATATCCACATTTGGTGCTGCGCATCTTTACTGCAAAGAGCGAATTCGTCGAATCCCATAGCCTGAAACCTCCCCTCAGGTAAAATTACAGCCTCGAATCCTTGTGAGAACGACGGCGCGTTTTCTGTTAATGAACTTCTGGCAATAGTCGTCGGCTCCACAGATCTCCACGTTGTGGGGGTGCAACCTCTGGCCCTCTGCTGGCCTGGTGATCAGATCCACTAGGTGGACCCGAATTCCTCCCAGTGTATCATATTTCGCGTATACAGCGCCTGCTTCGGGTTCCTTCTTATTCCTTCTCTTGTCTTATTGGCAAGGACGCCATTTTTCGCTTGCACCCTCCTCCTCTCCAACTCCCATTGACTCGAGACGGATCCATCTACAGAGCTCTTGCCAAATCTGTAGTGCCTTAGGCCCTCCCCCATCCCCCTTGTTGTACGAAGCGTGGAGTTCTCCATCATGCGATCACTTAACTTGCTTGACCATCTCTACCTCTCTAGATCTCGAGGATGAACAAAGGAATAATTAAATGGTATGTGGTTCCATAATGATAATGGAAATGACAAGTTCCAGAAAAATAAATAATTTTCAGCTTTTCCAGGTGTGGCAATAACGGATTATTATAATTTAATTCAGGATCTTGTAATAAAATTAAAAAACTTAGTTTTTTTTTTCCAAAAATGTTTGTAATAGTTGCCTATTTTCTACAGGATTAGATAAATTTTCTTTATCTTTATTTATATATTTTTTGAAAAATATCATTAAAAAGTTAATTTCAGAGTGGCATAAATCCTTGGGTGGATATTTGCGCTGAGAGATTAGAAATCATGGGCTGAACCGACAACATCTTCCCGATTGCATGACAAAGGATGTGGGGATCCAAGTTATACACCTCTCCGACGTTCACCTATAGACGTAGAATCAAGGTAGAATAGGAAGATTCAAAATTAGGAAAAAGCACCGAGCACGGGCTGCAAGTTACATCGCCATAAGTACACCGCGTCGAAACGACCGTCCGAATTGAGAAGATTGTTTCATAGTATATCTGGGTTGGAACCACGACCTCAATATGATTGCAAATTACAGCTAATTTGGAAGATCCGACTAGATCCAAGCAAACACTTTCTAAACCAGCATGATCTCAGGGGCAGGGATCCCACATTCTAATCTAGACACCGCTGCTTCTGGGTGCAACATCCCTAGGTCGCCCTCGATATCCTAGGGACCACGATCATGGCAATCTCACAAGGCGGCTGGCTTGACAAATAAGTTGGAGAACCTCCAGATCCTGAGTCTGTGGCCACAGCTGAAACCAGGTCGTCCAGCCTTCCATTGTCTACCCAAGACGTGTTACAACGAAACCCGCAGATTTTACATCGAGGTATATTGCTCCCTCGTAATTCCATGTTTAGATTATGCCCCCAACACCAGAGGATGTCCTTGTGAGACCGGACGTGCTCTTTTTGCGGAGTATGTAAAATTTCTACAAATGAAGATACTATTTTCTATACTAATTTCTACTTATAGTCGCATTTTCACTTTACTTAGATGTATGGTAGGATATGAGACTAGAGTGGAAAGGCCTTGAACTTATTTGTATATTTTACACCTTGTTTCCATCAATAAATTATACTTTTTTATTTTATATATCCCAGCTCCTCGAATATTCTCCCTTACTATGCGAATACTTGTCTGTGGTGAGGAACACGATACATTGTAAAGGCTTGATAGTATTTATTGTGTCCTCGGAAATTCATGTCTCATGTGGAAATATGTGATTTTAGGGGTGACCGTAGAAGTTTTCTCTAATTCATTCGGATTGTTCTTTGTTCCTTTCAGATATATTTCAAATGAATATGCTCACGTTTGGTTCCTCTTGAACTCAAGCCTTTATGCTCAATAAAGCTGAACTCCCTTTTGGAAACCCGTGGCCAAGTTTGAAATGAAGTTGAAGGTGCCAAGTGGCCGACTCATAAAGGCGTGAGTTCAAGAGTAATCGAACGTGATTATTCTCTTTTGTGGAAATTTTACAAAGGCCACAAGCAAAGTCGATTCTTCCCACTTGTAGATTTCGTTGATTCTTCCCACTTGTCTGTGGGTACAATCAATGCTGGAGGGTTTTCCAAGCAAGTTAATATCTGTTGTTCCGGTCTTCTAGACTCTGAAGACGGTCTCGCATGAGAAATTATAAACGAGATTCTGAAAGCATGTCAAGGCGAAATAAGTCAGTCAGTTGACCTCATCGACAATGTTACGCGCTGTGCAAGCTTTTTGGATGGACGCTTGAACTAGAGCTGTTCTCAGATGCTGTGGAAACTATTGGGGCGTACATCCATCACATTGGGATGATCTTGTAGCACATTGGCATTTCACGTACACAGTGCTGTAATAAAAAAAACATTTACAGTGTTCAGATAGAAAATAAGCCACGAACTTCAACGATGCACGGCCATCTCTAGTGGATAAAACAGTGAGACCTCACGTCTGAAATGCATTTGGTGCCACCTCTGTCTATTCTAGTTTCGGCAGCAGGATTAGTACCATTTAAACTGTTCACGTATACCAACATATCACAAGGATGTTAACTCCAGATCACTCAAATGTGACATCACGGCTCTGCCAATGTGCAGAGCAGCAAATGGGCAAAACTCCAGCTCCGGAAGAGTTTGAACTTTATGTCAGTTGTTTAATACTGATGATTTGAATATGAATATATATATATATATATATATATAGATAGAGTATTCATATATGATAATATTCAAACATGAATATGAATTTGCGTCTCATAAGCTGTTTTTTTCCGATTTGCGTTGCTTGTTTACAGAATGAGGATATGAGGTCAATAAAGCATCTCGGTGTGGAAAGTCGTCACGAGTTGGTCACTTACTGAGACTAAAGACAATGTGGCCATGTCACACCAAGTATCTTTCTTGAAAGAATAGAGGAATTTCCGGAAACCCGAGGAACACCAGTTGTGCCCAGGGAAACAATCTACTGCGCAGGTTCGGTCAACGTAAGTAGACTTTCACAGTGACCAGTTTTCTTATGTGTCCCATTAGGGTTCAGACGGTTCTTTGCAGAGGTCGGGATGTGATACTTACAAATTTGTAAGTGCAAATTATATGAATTTTATAACTCGATAACTATGTATTAGATGAAGGACATTGAACGTTGTACATTGGAAGTGATCTCCGTGCTGGTTGAAATAGATGTTCAGTACGAGGGTAGTCTGGATTAGGCCGTGTACTAATCTTGGGGTCATTTCCATTGAAGCAGGTTTTTTGAAATATGAGCAGTTCGGGGTCTACTTCATTTTCTGCCATGCAATATTCCAGACCTGATTTTCATACAGCACGGTCACACACACATCAGTTGCTCTATATATGGAAACATTTGTTGTTTCTGCTTGGACACCAAGGTTCTGAAGCCATTTGTGATCATTTGGTGTTCGTGACAAGAGCAGTGCAGAAACACCTTCTTACTCGTTTTCCACATGAGTACATCCCTGAACCTGTTGTTGGCTGGATTATGGTCACTCTCTGGGAGCAACAGTGAATGGATGTTTCGAGGCTACTCTGTATCCGACACCATGTCGAGGATCGACGAGGTGTTGAGGTCATGCCCTGAGTCAGCACTAGCATGAGATACAAAACCAGTTCACACATCGGCTACAAAAAGGCAGAATTATGGCGCGAAAATGCGATTTATGAATGTATTAGATTACAAGTAACGACACACTTTGACAGTGCCAGGTATAATATATACAGTCCCCCGATGGGGAGAAATTTCCGAAGTCTTACAGGTCCCTATGGCGTGTGACGGAGAAAGGGTGTCAGAAAGGGCCCACTCGACCTTCGACCGGTCAAAACTTTGTTCGCCAGAGGCTTCTTCTTGCACCGATAATCACAATCTATGAGAGATAATCTAATCTGTACATGTAATCGCTCAGAGCAAATGGTCATTTGCTCGCTCGTTATCAAAATTGTAGCACTGTCTAGAGAGAGCCGAAGATTTCGAGGAGATCTAGCCCGTCCTCCTCGATTAGTTAAGTAGTCACTCGTAGTTGCTGTCCGAGTCATCGGGTCCTGCGCTCTGGGCATTCCACATATTGTCGTCCACCGCTCTCACCACTTGAAGAAACAATGCGGGATCACAAATGATCGCCACGCCCTTCTCGACAGAGAAGTCCTCGCCGAACTCATCCTCCGAGCACTTCAACAGGACCTGGAACAGAGGGTGCGCCAGCAGCTTGCGGCTGATCACATACTTCACGCTCTGCTCGATGCGTGGTCCGACATAGACCGTCAAATACTTGGAAGACTTCCCGAAAGGCACTTTGTCGACGAGCACGGCCTTCCTCTCGCCCGACGAGAGCTTGCTGCCCTTGCGCTTGCCCGACGTGCCTGCGGACCTCCTCGATTGCGAGCGCGGTGACGACGTGCTCGTGCTCGTGCTCGTGCTGCAGCTGGAGCAGGCATCGGAGGACACATCGGAGACATTCGAAACGGAGCCCGAGCCCGAGGCAGAGGTGGAGCCGGACGACCTCGAGGCGGCCATGGGGAATTCGTCGGAGCAGAGCGAGTTGGCCGAGGACGACGAGAGCCCCGAGCTCCTGGTCGCCGCCGGTTGCAGAGCGCTGCGCACGAAGGACCACGAGAAGTTGCCCCGCGACAAGCTCCTGCTGAAGAAGTGCGACTTTCTGGCCCGCTGCTGACACTTCTCCTCCGTCGTCGTCGTGCCTCTGCTCGGCGACATGCGATACTCGTCGCTCATCGTCGTCGTCGTCGTCGCTCTCTCATCGCCAGACGCAGCCATTGTTTCCACCCTCCCTCTCCCCCCCGCCCACACCCCAAATTCGAACAGCCCAAATTCCTCTGCCTTCCTTTCCCTCCCTCAGTCGCTGGCTCTGTCTCTGCAGCTCGAGCTCTCGCCTGTCTGTCGAAAATCTCCAGCGAGCTCGAACACTTACTTGCGCTCCGCTGTGATGTCCCTGAGGCAGTTCATCAGACTCTGGGCTCTGACTCTGAGAGGCAGCCGCTGCTATGGAGGCCCGTCCGCTGCGGCAGGCGATCTATACTTCTTCTACGACACACCATGGGCGAGAGCTCGAAGGTCGACGGATTTTTGTATGGGGGGAGAGGCGACGCGGTTCATGTGGGATGTCAGGAGTTCGGTGAGGACAACGTGGCCGTCGTTCGAAGAACACGGCCCTAGGATGTCGAAGCTCGAAAGAACAAAGCGGGCGCAGGGCTACTGCCCACAATCCGCCACGCGTCTCCAAAGCGATTCCGCTCTAGAAAGCCTCCAAAATCCGCTCAACACGTGGGTTCTGCGAGCCATTGCACCATGTGCTCAATTGTCAGGCCGAGCCCGAGCTCCCCCTGAGCCCGAGCCCGAGCCCGAGCGATGCAGTCCGACAAAGCGTGCAGCAGTCGGGGCGGCCTTTTTCCACCACTGCCTCCTCCTCCTCCTCCTCCTCCTGAAACGCCCGCTCATCGGTATCCTCCATAGCTGCGTTCCGTCTAAACAGTCGAATCTCCGTTTTCCATCTTCGGTCCGTGAGCACATTCCTCCAGCGGAGTGAAATCCGGTCCACCTCGCGACCAGAAACTCTGCACAGGTCGGGTACGTCACGGTCTTCCCAGGGCAGGGGCCCCTTTCCGCCCGTTGCGGGGCGAGTTCTCGCTCTACCGCGTCGTTCGTAGTTGGGCTCGGGATGCGTTCCCCGTTCTTCGTCCCCCCTTGACCGGTATTGACCTGGGCGGCCTACCGGGGGGAGCCGGTGGAGTTCGCGTCCGTCTCTCGCAGTCCCTCGTTCTTGCAGAAAAGGCACCGTCCATCATTGTACGTACTGCAAGCGGAAAGGAGGATGTCTTTCTATTTTTTTCCTCCTCCCATACCTTTGGAGAAGTACCTGATTTAGAAAACGGCCTTCGGCTTAGAAGCGAATTATTATTGATCGGATTTAGCAGGTGCTGTCGACAAAGATTCAACTTTTTAATTTCCGGCCCCACATGAACTCTCCTGTTCGCTCCTCTAACTTTAGCACCGTAACCTCCAAGGCCATGGTCTTTGTATGACATGAAATAGCCAAAATAAACTAAATTGAATCAGATGGCTTGCATGGAGCGTGGTGATCAATGCGGGTCGAGTAGGGCCAAGTCGATGGCAAATGAGGTCCGGAAATACCACACTCAAGGTCTGAAAGGAAAAATCAAACTACCAACAAAAGAGGCTATTGTAGGAGATATGGCTTGTATCTACTAAGCTAGTCAAATTATTCAGATAATATGCTGAGGAAAGTGATACCCACGCCGTTTGATATCGCAACCTCTCGAGTACATGCGAGCATGTCATATCTGCGTCCCATTATACTTGTTTCCCATCCGCTGAGTACAAAAGCAATTTGTTCTATACTTTAAGAACTATTGTTGTTTCAACTTCATCAAATTGAACCTTTTACTTTATAATTTTATAGATTCTCGATCCATTATCCAGAACCTGACTTGCGCTATGGTATTGATACTATCAGATAGTTAAATGTTCATCCACTTTATCTCAAATTTTGGATAAGTATGTCAGAATTTTAAAATATTCAAAATCAATAGCTTCCTGAAAACATATATCATCACAGTAATCAAGCGTACTTAAGATTGTGCGATACTTATGTTCCTGCTAGGATTTGATTGAACTCAGTTCCGGAATATATGTGACTACGAAGATATTATTCACAAGTAAAGTACGCGCAGTAGAACAGTGTGCATGGAAATAGCACGGGATAAGTGGTTTGCGTGTACGTTATTTATGTGAATTTGTGCATCGGACAACATCTGGATGTTGTTTTAGACAGCGAGCCAAAATGGATGTAGCTTATTATTGTGTAGGAAGAACATCATTAGCAAAGTGTATCCTCTGAACCTTCCTTCTTCTTTTTTTCCATATCTCGGTTCTCACTCACCTCGAGGAGTAACGCTTAGCATTGTGTCATTCCACCACCTACCTACTACTACTACTTCGCTTCTCGATCCAATAGAGTAAAGTCCTAAATTCACGTCCTTCCTTATGCAACCCAGTCGGTTCAATAAATTCCCCGCCTCCTCCTCGACTCACGTTTTGCCGTCACTCCGTCCTCGCAGTCTGCTTTCTCCCCCCTTACCCCCGTCCTCCCCAACGGTCGAGTGGGGTCCCTGGCCACTTTTCGCTTACAAGTGTGCAACCCGAGTAATAAAAGAGGGGGGGAGGAAGGGGGGGCAGGGGGCCAAATGGATAATAAAAGCGATGTGAGTCATCTGAAGCAGTTCACTGATCAGCTTTAGGTCGACAAAGGTCTGAGCCTTCTGGGCTCTGCTGAACGAGGTTCAGGGTCGGATCATGTTCGTGATTTAAGTCCGTGCGTGCGAAGCCGTCGAGCGTATGGGAGACGAAGGTCTGCGCGGCCACAGTGCCGCAACGACGCAGTTGCCATGGAGGGCCCCATGCGCGCAAAAGGGGATGGATGGCTTGTTTGTATCTCGGCTCCGGGAGGGGAGGGGAGGGGAGGGGAGGTAGAGAAGACCGTATGATCGATCATTGGACCCGCTTTGGGGTGGGACGGGGTTAAAGCTCCGCACATTTTTGTCATAGTAACTCTATAATGCGCGTTGGGCTCGCAATGATGGGTGGACATATCGGCCTTTCGGGCCCGGAAAGGGATGGCTCGAGTGCATCAATCCTCGTCTGTCAGACTAGCGGACGTCATCTACATTCAGACCAAAACTCGCAGACACCGGCTGTGCAGGTGGCTGCGTCGACCATGCTTTAAGAATGCGGTACCGTGACGATTTAGGGGGTGAAATATCTTGCGCCTCCCCGCGAAAAAAATCTGGACCCGAGCTGGGAACTGTATCTCGAGAGGATCGTTGAGCGAGAACGAGACGGTCTCGATGGACGTGACGGCCCTGCCTGCACCAATGGCCGGCGGCCTGAGTGTGTGTTGACAGACATCTCGTATTTCCTCTCGGCCTGCCAGGTTGATTTCGCGAATGTTTTTAGTGCTCTCAGGAGTTCGGACGCCGTAAATGATCATGTGTAAGAGCCTCGGAAATGTGATACATTATGGCTCCTGTGCATGTCGAAGAAATCATTCGAGGCCTGTCTCGCGGTTCGCAGATAATGAAAGGCCAGTTAAAGGTCCAAACACTAGGAGCTGAAGGCAGCAGTCAGCGTATTTAAATTCGTTTACGTCACAGACAAGGCTTGCCTCGTGGGCGGGCAGGACACAAGACATGCGTGATTGCATCCCTGCACCTTTGGGAAATATCTCGCTCTGATTGAAGTGAAATATACCAAGCCTGTACAGAGTGGAAAGTCGCATACCACTACGAGAAGAAAGATGGTACGGTCTCAGTTGATTGAAAGGAGATCTCCACGGTCGACGACAAAAGTTTGTTAACGGTGGAAGCTGGTAGCAAAAGTGAAAGTACTCCTTGTTCAGGTGGAAGTTTCAGGACAAATGCCTCGGGCCCCGCAGCCCAGAGCCAGGCGCATTCAAGAACCTAAACTTCAAACTCATCCCAATGTTCGCATAAATTGCTCTCACAGTTCTCACCGCTGCCTCACTTGCCTAACCACTGACTGTACCATCGATTTGCAGTCATCTCCAGCTGACTGCATTTAGTGTCAAAAGCCCGTCTCGTGTCCAAAAGTCGAATGATGTGCATCAGCTCGGTTCTCCTGAAGTAGCGTCCTTGGCCAGTGGAACAGGACTCCGCAATAAGGTAGTAAGAGTTCACACTCAAAAACACTGACCACTTCGGAAGACGTGAGGGGCATATTATGATACTTCTGAGCGTCAAGATATACAAGGCGATTGGACCAGCAGTAATTACGTCGGGGAAGTAGTGTCGGAGGCACAGCTGCATTAGCAGAACGATCTGATCGGGAACTTAGATGGCGTACTTCAAGTTTTAATGTTGTACATGTATGCCTAGGGAAGTTGTTAGATAGTGCTTTATAAGCACCAGTGTACCGGCAGAAGAGGAGATTTGCATCAATGCCATGTTCCAGTTCTAGAGCGCAGTGCGATTATGACGCGGTAATAGTGGAGGAAGATGCTTCTCATTCAGCTTGCGGCACAAAGAGATTTGACGCTCGTCATGATTAGCTCAGAGTCATCTACGAGGTTATGCTCTGTAAGAATACCAGTTGACAGAAGCTGTCAAATCATACGACTGCATCTGACGGTCTGAAAAAAAGAATTATTTACACGACAGATAGCAATATTTCCTCGTGTTCCGGTACATTTACATCTACATTGGAACGATAAGAATTGGAGCTGCGGCTGGTGCAGGATGTACATATCGAACTGGCTATCAAAAGTTCGATATGTACATCCCTCCAGCAGCCTCCTCAATGTCTAGAGCAGACTGGTATCCTGACCTCGAACTATACAGAGAATGATCCTATTGAACATGAATTACCCAGACTCTAAATCTTTGGGTGTGTGAACTATCCTATCCTTCTACGCGTGACGGGATGAGAATCTCTACAATATGAACAAAATTGGGCACAGGCAAGATGATCGCTTCGTGCTTTGAGCTCTTGTTGTCGCAGGGACTCAAGTGCTGGCATCAATGCTTACGTCCAGCTCTTGAGCTTTGGAGGTTTGAGCAGACCACAAGCTGTCGTCCACAGCCCTTACAACCTGTAAGAATAAAGCCGGATCGCAAACGATAGCCACGCCTTTCTTCACAGCATAATCTTCACCGAACTCGTCTTCGGAGCACTTCAGCAGGACTTGGAAAAGCGGGTGCACCAGCAGACTTCGGCTTATAACATATTTCACACTCTGCTCAATGCGTGGTCCGACGTACACTGTTAGATATTTCGAAGATTTCCCGAAAGGCGCCTTTTCCAAAATGACTGGCTTTCTGTCACCAGTAGTAGACTTGGTATGCTTGCAGGCTGACCGTTTCTGAGGAATCCATGGTGCTCTCTTTAAGTGGAAAATTGACGATGTTGACTTCAAAGGTCCCAACCAGCTTGCAGTCGAATCAGCACTCGACCTTGCCGGAGAATTGGCGGAGTCGGAGCTTGAATCCCACGATCCAGTGTTGCTTTCAGAAAGAGAGAATGTGGATTCATACCCGCTAGATGTCGTACAAGGGGAGGCATCCGGCGAACTGCAACCGTGTCTCGACATTGTTGCAAAACCTTCTGTAAGGTTATCACTTTTCTTGAATCTGAACCTGCCTTCTCCCGTAACAGCCTTCTCTCACAATGAAAGACTAGCTCTTATTCTCGGCAGCCGCCATTGATTCTCAGAAAGTTGCCACAAAAACCGAAGAAACTGATAACTATTGATGCTTTGGCTCGCTACTCTCTTGTGCCCTTCTGATCAGATGGACACTCGTTTCTGCGAATGTGTGCCGAGGACCAGTCGCCGATCTACGATAGCAATTGACCATGTTCGTCGCCTTGACCTGGATTTGTATCATCAGGCGAAGAATACTAGTTATGGCGGCAGGTGTGATGAGTCTGTCACAAGGAGCCGGGCATGGGCAAACGTGGGTGACTTCGAGCACAGTGACCTGATGCCATGGAACACGGAGCTGTGTTGTTCTTCTTCCCCATTTGACACGTGTGGAAAGTCTGCGCTCGTTACGGGTTCAACCGGCTCGGTATGGCTGGAGCATATCACATCACTCAGGCATTTTCGGTGAGCTGGAATCCCTTTGGAGCCGTAGGATGCTATCCTAGAGTCAAGAATGAGAGTTGTGGGCAGTATCTCTACTACGATACTCCCCTCTATGGGAATGCCTGTAGCATTCATTCCCATAGGTAATCTGGAATCCCCAGTGACCTGCCTGGGTTTCAGCTTGGATATCGCTCAGATGTGCTTTTACCGTCATCACTTAAGGCTGCATCCTACGACTTCCATATTACGTTAATGACTATGAAAGTTGCAAGTCCTTGGCTTCTTCGCACAAGGGATAGATGTCACATTCATTCATTTGTTTTGTTTTGTTTTGTTTTGTTGAGTATGCTCTTGGTCGTAATAGAAAGTAGTGCGTTAGCAAGCGATTCTAATCATTGAAGTAGCTCCAATTAGTGCTAATGCGAACGTTGTTGAGTTCATGCTTAGCTATTTGCTGTTTTTGTCGAATGGGATGTTATTCTTGCTCGAAGTGATTTCCAAAGCAGAGAGATGGGAGGTTTTAGAGAAAAAACGGCACAAGATGTAGGAATCTCTGATGCGTGACTTGTTAACCGGCTGAACATTTGCGGTGTTGGATGTCGTAGCTGATGGTGAAATCTGCTACTTCTAGCGAGCCCCCGGGGACGGCCGAGGTCATGCGATCACAGAGAATTGTGTCAACTGGCGTTTACTTTGATCAGGGAAGACTTTTGAAAAAAGCTGGAACTACAGTTCTTTGACGTACAGTGCAGATATGGGCCTGACAGCCCTCGGCCAATTGCAGCTCTGCTTATTCAAAACTTGTTTTCAGATAAACCTTTCAGGAAGCCTTTTGCAGGAGCAACAAACAACCTTTCTCATGATACAGTGAATTCGAGGTACACAGCAGGTCGAGAATCATGTGCCAATACATGCACTGCTCAGAGAATACAGATGCCTCATAACTCAAACCTCTGTACGGAAGGGATATGATGAGCCCTTCTGGACACGACAGAACAGTAGATTTGAACTCGAATCATCTTCAAATCAAATCTCTCGAGTGCTAATATGAAGTTGCTCACACGTTGCATTGTAGAGATTTCGCGGTATGGGCGATACTTCGGTGACGCAAAGGAGTTAGCCCTCACGTTATCATGGAGCAATTTCTACAATCAAGCTATGACACTTGGAACCTTTTTTTCAGGATTCTGTATGTTTTACAATCTGGCATTCTCCATTCAATCGAAGGAGATCAAGTCCTCCTCAATTTCAGAATAACGCAAGTTCGACTAAAGAAAAATGAAGTAAAGACTCTTCTTTTTTTTCCAACCAAAATCAACTACTAAAAATGTGGTTCAAATAAATCTATATTCTCCTTGGATGACTTTACAGTGTTCCTACTTCTCAACGAGCATGTTCAAAGAGATAATATAACTTTGCGATAAACAGCTATCAATTGGGATATCTTCTTTCAACGGATGGACCTATTACATCGTTGCAACAATGAAACGTCATATTAAATGAAGATCATGCTTCAAATGCTTACATCTTTGGCAAATTCCAAACAAGTAAGCAGATACTTTAGGAAGACCTCGTTACGTCCTATAGGGATGAAACTAATTTTTATGAGTATATGGTGCGAGAACACTATCATCATATTCGAACTCCCTATATCCAATTTTCTCGAACAAAGATCAACAACACATGAATAAAATGTGATTTCTCCTATCTTATGGTGAGCTCTAGCGTAATCTCTCACCAATGTGTCAAATTTTGAGTTTGTATAACTCCGACGCATAGAAATATAGAGAAGACCACCTTCTATAACCCTATACTCAGTACAGTATACTTAGACACTATGGCTTATAAATCGAACATCCATGACTTGGGTAATCATACTTTACAAAAGTGTCACATCGAAGTTTATCCCTACTCCTCCCAACTTGAGTCAACTACAAAGCGATTGTTTATATCATGTTATGCCAAGGCAAAAACCAGATCCATACCTAGATCCCTAAACCCCTACTTTTCTCACTTCCGTATTAGCAATTCTAGTGCAATTGGCAGGCATAAAGAAAATAGGATCGAATTTTGACTTTGGGAACACAACATATTTTATGTAAACTATCTCAAGTTTGCAATAATCGTATAATAATCTCTATTCAAATCAAGTACATGTCATAAATTTATTGGCTCATAATAATCGTTCAGTTGCAGTTCCTCTCTGTTGACAATTTTCATCAGTATTTTGACATATTCGGCAAGTTCGATATTGCTACCCATGATGTGGCAGTTTGTTGTCATTTGAAATAAGTAGCCCTATGATTTTGAATCATGAAATCAGAGTCTAAACGAGGATGAAAAACAAAATGTTCTGATCTTATCGAGAAAGAATGCACACATGTACTCGTGTAAGAAGATAGGCTGAAAGTTTGATATGAGAGGGTGTATCTTCGACTAAAGAGATAAGAGCCTGATTCATTGTACATTCTCTTGTGGAGTAATAATTTCAAATACAATATAGTATCTATAGATTGGTTCAACATTGTTGATTATAATTCTAGTTAAAGATTAAACTCAGATCATAACTATTTATAGTTAGAAGAATAGTTTGTGCTAGAGTATTTAATCTCAGGATTTATGTATTATCACAAAAAAACATCATTGAACAATTTCACGCTTGTGAGTTTCATGTGGACGTAGTTTTTTGTGGCGAACCTGTGATATTGTCACTCATTTTTGTGTTTTACTATTTACTGATTCTCGGTTTTAACCTGACAAGCACGTCCATGATTGAAATCTTATGATGTTGCTATGTATATATACTTTATATTCTTCATACATATGAAGTCATCTTAGTTTTATTTTCTAGTTTATATTCTTAACTTGCATGAGGAGTAACTTTGATTGATTTTAACTTTGATTGGATATAACTATTATATTATATTATATTATATATAGGTTATATGAAGTAGTAAGTATTGAAAAACATGTCTTTGTTACATGTCCAAGGTATGAAGAGAATAGATGTGGAAGATTTCTAATCTTTATTAGAGCTAGTGATTTATGATTTAGATTGTTATATTCGGGACGTTATTATTTATTGTTCTAGGCATTAGCTAGGGAGAGTCCCTCAGGATACTTCACCTTGTGAGTGAATGTTTGATTTATAATGTGTTTTTCAACTTTTTGACCCTTTGGGTCCCACGGTCTTGATTTTTTTACAAGATAACACTGAGGAACAAAGTAGATTTAACTTTATAGTAAAGTTATATTTTTGAAAATGAATAACTACCATTTGTCTTTCTTTCATAAAAATCTTCCAACTCTAAACTCCCACCATCATCATCCATGTAGTTTCTGATGAATCTATGATCTTATGTACATCATTTGCTGATAATGTTATCCATCATTTGAGCATATGTATGATTGACTTGTATTTTTACACCCATCTCTTATCCAACAACAACCAAGCAATTCACTTGCAATTGATATATAAAAATAATAAATTAAAAATAAATTTAAGATGAGATATTTCTGTTTTAATTATAAGTAATAAATTAATTACACAAATATTCTGATTATAAGTTTATAATATTGTAGAGTATCTCTTATGATCTTCAAATCCATGAGTTTTACTTGACAGCCGGAACATTTGAATTAGGAGGGATCCATATAACAAAGACTCAAACTGAAACTATGGAGTTTCGACTGATCTCGGCCTAGTAGCATTGAGACTAGAGAATGTAAAAGCTCTTAGTGATACACATATGATGAAAATGAACTTATCCGATTCTACCTCACAATGATTGACATGCGGTTTTGCGTTTTCTGGTGATACGAAGGGCTCTCTTGCTCGACAATTGGGAATGATGATGAAGTTTATGTAAATCAGAAGGTAGTTAAATTGGCTAAGTCAGCAATGGTGACGCAGAAAAGTCGCCAAATCGTATAGAATCGAAGTGACCCACCTTGCAACTTGTATTGCTGACATGCTGGTCCAATGTGGTCAAGTCAAACGAATTTCGTTCGACCCCAAGCAGAAGTCCAGATCCCTTCAAAGCCCCACCTTTCTACCTCCCGCAAGTCTCCTCACTGCTTAGGAGACAAGGTTCACAAATAGTCATTTGTGAAGGATTACGGGATATGCTTTGCCACTCCAGGGTGGCAAGTGATCTTCGTAGTTCGTGTACACAGTACACAGAGATGCCCTCTACGCAATCTCCCCGTCTGGACTTCACTTTCTCGAACAGCGCTGCATTGCCTGCCTTGTAGGCAAACTGTCTCAAACAATTCTTTTTCCATGCACTACGGGTTAGGCGAGTGATGGGGATAGGAGAGGATGTAAGTTTGGAGTTTATCATACATTGTGAAAATACGTTTTTTCGTTTTTTGAGAGTGAATGAATGTAATTCTCGTTTATCAATAAAGGTTTTATTGGTACAGTAATTGAATTGAACATCATGGACAATCGTACACATGTGTATTGGTATATGGAAGTAAACCCGTTGTTCATATTTTCACATGATCTTATTTCAAATTCTACATATATTCCGATCTTTTCTTTTTCTTGACTTGGTGACATATTTGAAACATTTGTGGATAATTATGTTAAGTAATGGCAGGTGTAATTCGACTCATGATGGATTCACAATGTTCATTTTTTGGTGAGTGTTAGCTATCATTGTCATGTACTTTCAGTATGCTATTTTGAGTGGTGCATGATTCACCAAGTTAGTTACATAATTTTCTATTAAATCTTGACACGGGTGAAAATTTACGTGAAAACCATGATAAATATTTATGTTGGATCGTTTGCTGCAGATTTTATTTTCCATCGTGATGCTATTGCGATGTAGTACTATCTTCACTATTTGGGTTCATCCATGTACA